TTATTCCAGACAGTCGTGGCAAGGTTAGAAAGCGTAAGTTTAATATTAAGAACAGTTTTCAGTAATTTTTACTAAAATAACATAAAGGGGATAATTGCATATAATGATCTTCAAAACCTTTCAAGAATTTGGTAGATCGTGCAATCTTTCTTCAGTAACTAGCACCACTTATATATCAAAATGATCATGTTGGCCACCTCAGACACCACATACACGACATTTCTAATATTGCAAGTTTCTCTCATTACGCGATCAAAAGAGTGAGCAACCCATTTGGTTTACTTTTGTTATTTTCAAGAGAAAATATGTTATCTTCTATTTATCTGGCAGATAGTCTTTAAATTGCAGAAAACTTAGAATTCTTTACATATTTATAGTGTACTGCACTTGAGATTGGAGTTTGATATATATTGGATTTAGATAAACAAGTTTTTGAATGGCATGCGATACCATTAAATTTATTTAAGAATTATTTATGGAGCTCCCAATTTATCAACTTACCTGCACTAAATTTTTTCAAACATTAATTGTTTCGATATTCCTTTTTCTTTTGAAATGTATTATATATTACGGTAGAACAACCGTAGTGATCGAGTCAACACTTCACACCAATTAGCCTAGCCTTATAATGGGCATTGAAAGGCTTGTGTTATGGGCTAACGATGATGCATAGATTAGAATTTATTAGATTAGATTTTAAATTCATATTTGTTAACAACCAAAACTTAGGCACAGATGCTCGTTTTTATCATACAATGATTTGCCCCACCGGGGTGAACCCAAGACCTCGGAGTATGCGACACCTTAAAAACCACGTACATTGCACTTCCCAACGGGGTACGTCAACATTCGATGTTCGATCTTTATAGTCTATTAAGAGGGTAGTTTATAGCCGATACTTATGTGTGTACGCAAGCCATGAGTGGGTATGTTGCGTTGCGTTGATGTATGGATTTCCACGCGATGGAAGTAATGAATTATGTCAAGTGACATTTATTATATTTTCAATTTACTTATTTTTAATGTTTCGAATCATTTACACTTTTAAAGACCCCATGGTCACAAAAATAAATTATGAATCACGAATAGACTACATGTTAAATTATGCATAATTTGCTCCACTCGAGTGTCGTATGTTACCGGTGCTTACATAATAGTACGAACTCCATAAGCGAACATGTTCTAAGGAGAGCATATATTGATATTCACGTAATGGAAATAATATATTATGTGTGATATGACCCCACAAGGGCGATTATAAAATTGATGAGGATATTTCTCTATCAACGATGTTTTGTTACTGATACTTGTATGTGTAGGCAAGCCATGGAAGGCAAGTCCTTATTCATAATGAGTTCCATACGGAGGAAGCAAATTATACATAATATGCCCCCGCGAGGGGCGATCATCAGAGTTTTGGTAATATGCACGCCGCGAAGGTGGTTTGCTACCGGTACTCGTATATGTAAGCAAGGCATTAGAGGTATTTCATAAGGTTTCACGTAGTGGAAACAAATTGTATATAATATGCACCCCGCGAGGGTGATTTGCTACCGGTACTCGTATATGTAGGCAAGGCATTAGAGGCATTTCATAAGGTTCCACGTAGTGGAAACTAATTGTACATAATATTCACCCCGCGAGGGTGATTTGCCACCGGTACTCGTATATGTAGGCAAGGCATTAGAGGCATTTAATAAGATTCCACGTAGTGGAAACAAATTATATATAATATGCACCCCGCGAGGGTGATTTGCCACCGGTACTCATATGTGTAGGTACGCCATGGGAGGGCATGTCCTGACACGCCTTGGGCTTCATGAGATGAAGCTTATGAATATCACTTGCCTCTGCGCGAGTTGCTCATTAGGTTGATGAAATGTCAATCACTTAAATCCATGACAAATACTTACTTAATACGATAAAAACAACCTCATAGATGGTATCTTATTAAGTGGTGCTTCATCACAGAGATCACTAACTTCTTGCAGTCCTTTAGTTTTTACTTTTTAGCTTTGTGCTAGTTGTAAAAGACCTAAGAAACGATTCTGTTATCTTATCACTTTCGTCATTAAAATTAACTGAGCAGGTGCCTTCCCGCAATGATTCATTTTTATTTTAGAAATATGCAATTGCTGAAAGAAAATTAATGTCAGGAACGTGATATATCATAAATTATCATCATACTTCTTTACCTCGTTGTTTGTTTCCAAGTTGATAAAGCCTGGACTATGATTATAATTTTTAATTCACATCAGCATATCATTTAAAATAAACGTTGAATGTCTTTCGAACAGAGCGTACCTTTATCCTAGTTTAGTCACACGACTCATATGAGAATTTTTATTACGTGTATTGGTCAGTAAAAATGTTAGAACTTTTTATTCATAAGCCTTTAGATATTGATAGCTGGCCATGTTCAGAAAACGGCATATCGACATTAGAAATATCTTATTAAGATTGTACATAGTTCACTTACCACTCGAACAATCTTTTAATAAAAGGGCTGGAATATCAAGCTCGCTTATTTTTCTTGAGGCAGCGATGCCGCTTTCGTTATACCAGAAGACGACAAATTCAACCAATTATTACTGCAGCTGTTCGAAGAACAATAATGACTAGATCCACACATCTTGCTGTTTTTGCCAATAATGCCAGTCAGTCGGCGGGTGAAACGTCAATATTGACCGATATTCCTTCACTCTAAACTGTAAAACAATTTAATTAAGTATTTTGTAATACATTTACCAATTTACTTTCACATTTACTTATACGGAAACATTAATTGAATACCAAGAGAAAACACTCTTAAAATAGTTTTTATGATAAACGACCAAGACAGACGTAAAGTATTGCAAAATTTACTTTATGTAGGTACTTTAATTTTTTAAACAAAACGCACCTTGAATTGCCGTTAAGTTTTACTCACGGCTTATTATTACTTTTTCAAACAAGCGTATTGCACAATTTAACATATTTGTTTTAAATATCCCTTATCACAAGGGCTGCAAAACCTATCAAAAAGAATAATAGTTTTACTTACGATTACTTCACTTTTGACACGTAAAGTACCTATTTGGAATAACACGAACGGCAAAAACCGTTAAAATAAAATAGTTTTACTTACAGTTTTATCACTTAATAATAATAAAACCTTTAAATTCTCGCAACGATCGCTCAGATTGAGGACGTGTTGCTTCGACGGGAGTCAGAACGCCAATGAGTTAATATGGCGCTGTCAAAACTTAGGAAAACAAAAATGGCCGCGCTTCTGCCAGGTGTCGCCACTGGACCGGATATAAGGTGAATAAAAGTACGGAAACTGATGGTAATTCGACGGGAAACGGAAGTGCTATCTCAATATAAAGCTTTCAGTGACGGTCAAGTAGTTTAATGTCTAAACTGTGGGACACAGCTTTCATAAAATTAAGTGTTCAATCAGTATTTTATAACTTGTATAGTTATATTTTTTTTTGTTATTTATATCTGTAATGGAAGGTGACTACATGAATCATCTCATTTTGAAGTCATTTTTAACCGACTATAAAAAAGGAGGAGGTACTGTGTTCGACTGTATATATATATATATATATATATATATACGAACGAAGTCAGGATCTGATAGTGGAATCCGGGGGAATCGAGGGAAACCTTCAAATTTCAAAGACTCGCACGATTTTTTTTATGCATGATCACCGATTTCTCCGTCAATTATGTATGGACCGTTTTTTTTTTAATTCGAAAGAGTGCACTTCCGTTGTAGTCTCGTTGAAACCAATTCAGGATCTGATGGTGGAATTCCGCGAATCGAAGAAAACCTTCTTATAAATAATATTAATGATTGACTTGGACGATGCACCGATTACTTAAAGATTTGTGGTCCAATTTAAGTGATTCTTCTTTTGTTCAATATGAGTACTTGCCGTTTGGTTCCATAAAAAAAATGTTTGATCCATTAGTTTTTATTTAATGAGCATTTTTGTTTATTGTTTAAACTTTGAAGATATGACTTTCACTAAAATGGATGAAATAAAATATTTTTAAACGAAAAATAAAACCGACTTCAAAATCGAAAATAACTAAAAAGTAAAAAATAATATCTGGTTCATGATTTGAAAGTCGGGCGGGGTCAACTTGAAACATTTAATAGATTTTCGTTCCTGATCGGTAATAATACGTCTTTCAATCTTGAGCCTGCCGACTTCCAAATCATGAACCAGTTATTAATTTTTACTTTTTACTTCCATTTACTATTTTGAAGTCGGTTTTTTTTTCAATTTGACAACTCTGCATAAAGTACAGGGATAAAAAAGCAGTCTTGATGGTCTCCTGCCATAAAATTCGTTAACTAAGCTAATCGATGGCGTAGTTTTTCGACATTCACAAGTGCTTGTAACAGCCTAGAATGAACAGATGATATTGATATATTTTTTTTAATATCATATCTTATAATTTGGGATAACATAACATGTGGCTTTTTTATTTTATAGAGCTTAGCAAACAGTGGTGCCGATTCTGGTGTGAATCTCTAAACTTAAAACTAAATTTTACATCAGTCTTTCCTTTTCATTCTGTATAGAGAATGACAAGGACGCACTGTTGTCAAATTTAAGTTTAGGTTTAGAGAATCATGTCAGAATCGATACCAATATTAAATATTTTTGTGCCCCAAAAATATTTTTCCCCCATAGCTTAAAAAATCCCCCAAATTTGGGGCGAATCCCCCCAATCTGCAATATATTTTGTTTTTCGCCACCTAGGAAAGGCAAAGCGATACATTTCGTTTCAATGTATTGCGTTTTAATTAAACGCAGAAACACTTCTGACCAAATAAAGTGAAGGATCACAATGATGTGACATTTTTTATTATTTTTTTGTTAGTATGTTTTAAAGAATTCAGAAAGACATAAAATTCAGGCGTCATAACGAAAACAAATATTGATAAATCTACTATCGTTTGAATGGAAATAGTAGTTTTATTTTTTACGTTTATGGTAACCCAAAATGTCATTGAGAAATCGTATGTACAAATTCTAGTGTGAAGTTTATCAAACGTAATCGATATGACGACACAAACTTTATAAATGAAAGGGACCCCAGCCGTAGCCACCAGTTGAAGATAAGTCTGACCGACGTTCGGCTTCAGTGCGAGCCAACGTTTATTTTTCGTACGCGCTCCGTATCCCGCATTTATTATCTCGTGTTGTGAAGAAGTGTTATCAAGAATTACATAAAATGCCTTGTCCATTCATGGGATCTCTTAACCAAGCCTTCGTAAGAAATTACGGAGGCGCTCTTATGAAACAGTACGCGAACTACTGCCCCGTCATATCTCGCAGCTTTCGCTCGCTCGGTAACGATGAGACGAAATGCCCCTTCATCAAGGAAAACGCCATCATCGCGGACGCTCCCAAGGAGATGTCCGAGGACATAGTGGAGAACATGCTGCCGTACAAGTATGAGAAGTTTTTCAACGATCAGATCAGTGCTAAAAAGAAGGATTATTCCTATCGTGTATTCAGGAAAGTGTCTCGGCTGGCCGCCGACGGTGTGTATCCTCAGGCGCTGGAGGGCGCAGAGAACCGCCGCGTCACCGTGTGGTGCGCCAACGACTACCTGGGCGCGTCCCGCCACCCCGTCGTCCAAGATGCTGCCATTAATGCTATTAAATCCTATGGAACAGGTGCTGGTGGCACACGCAACATCGCTGGGAACTCCCAAATGACTGAGAAACTTGAAGCCGAAATAGCACAGCTACATAAAAAACCTGCAGCACTCATATTCAGTTCATGTTTTGTGGCTAATGATGCGACCCTGTCTACATTGGCGAAAATTCTACCAGGGTGTATTGTGTACTCGGATGCTGGGAACCATGCTTCGATGATTCAGGGTATACGTAACAGCAGAGCTCCTAAACATATATTCAGACACAATGACCCCCACCACCTTAGACAGCTATTATCTGAATCTCCTAAAGGTGTACCGAAGCTAGTAGTTTTTGAGACAGTTCACTCTATGAGTGGAGCTATATGTCCTTTAGAAGAAATGTGCAACATAGCGCATGAGTATGGTGCTTTAACATTTGTGGACGAAGTTCACGCTGTGGGACTGTACGGGAAGCACGGAGCAGGTATCGGTGAAGATAGAGGGGTGCAACATCTTATAGATATAGTATCGGGGACACTGGGAAAAGCCTATGGTAATGTAGGTGGTTACATTGCAGGTTCCTCTCTTCTGGTGGACACTATAAGATCGCTAGCACCCGGTTTCATTTTTACAACAGCCCTACCACCTCCTGTGCTGGCAGGATCCCTAGCCGCCATTAGACTCCTAGGCAGCGAAGAAGGGAGGAGTCTGAGGGCGAAACATCAAGGTATCGTGAGATACTTGAAACTGTCGCTGCTCATAGCGGGCCTACCGCAGATGCCGTCAGTGAGTCACATCGTACCTGTACCTATAAAGGGAGCGGATAAAGTGGCGCTGGTCGCCGAGTCGCTCATGAAGAGAGGGCATTACGTGCAGGCCATCAACTACCCCACGGTGGCGCGCGGCGAGGAGCGGCTGCGGTTCGCGCCCGGCCCCTACCACACGCCCGAGATGATAGACAGCCTCATCACTGCCCTCATAGAAGCATTCCACGAAAACAACATAACCTTCGATGAGTTCATGGTGAACGGCACTTGCAGAGAGTGCAGCATGGAGTACAAGGTTGACATCGCGTACGAGGAACCATACAAATATCCGATGCAAGTCGCCTAATTAGCACGAAACATAACCCTGACCTGAGAAGGCCATGACATTAACTATGAGTTTAGAATGCAAAGCATGAAAAAATCATATAAAAAAAATTGTTATAATTAATAAAATATTTGTATAGTTTATTTGCGTTATACTATTATATAATTTATTTATGGTTCGAGGATCATGGTAGGGGAAATTAAAATCGTGTAAACGGAGCTATTGTTTTATTTAGTCCCAGTATTTGATGACCCCGTCCCAGCCCGCGGTGAGCAGGCGGCTGGGCTCGTGGGGGTGCCACAGGGCAGAGATGCATACTCCGTCGTGCGCTTTCCACTTCTTGTAAAGTTTCGTCGTTTTCCAGTCCCAAATGTAGCATTTCCCGTCGGCGTCACCCGATACCAAGTAACTGTAACAAAAGAAAGACTTTATAGCACCTCTTAAAACCAGATTAATTAAATCACCTTGCACAAGAATTTTGACCTCGTTTGAGCATTAACATATTCTCGTAATGAAACACTGAGCAAAAAAAAACGATTTCTTATTCTCTGTCAGGAAATGAGATATAGGTAGTTCACAATAATTATTTCGCATGCATCGGAAATGGCAATTCAGCATGGATCACGTGACTAACACCTACGTTTTTCACGTGTAGAGGAGAGCGCCTCTCGTTAGACTCGTTACTAGTTACGTGACCTAGAGACGTGACTTTTGTTAAAAATAACCGCGAATGGCCAGTTATCTCACATATACGTACTAGCAATCGTGTGTACAAGCTAGATACAATACAACACGACGATTGGACCAAAACACTAACAGATAACTATTATTGCAAGTTCATAAATACAATGAAAGGGGTCATTAACCGCTTAAAAGTATCTCTAACTAGTTATCTCACCCATAATATTTTTGTATACCAACCAGTTTAGGTATTCTATGCTTCTTATTTTAAACCTATTTTTTGAATAATAGGGATCATACATAACGCTATATATAATATTACTATTAGGTTTTATTTCTATATTTTATAATCTTACTAGACTCCGCGGGACCTAAAGAAATCAAATAATGACCAATAAATTTTTAATGGTTAATTAACAATTTTGATAAAATTCCTATAACCTTTATAGTTTACCCACCATTTTGTGTTTGAACAATAATAATAAAAAAGATAGTTAGCTCTTTTGGAATCTCTAGAAAGGTAAGTTTATGTAACAATGCGTATATTTTGTATAAAAAAAGTTAAGCTAAATATTTAAAGGCTGCGATGTTTTTATAGGTAGCTTAAAGGTAAATTTTCTACATAATATACCTTCCTAATAAGTACTTACTTTAAAAATAATTACAGAATAAATGAGGACAAAATCATCACCGTAGGTAGGTAATAACTTTTTGCTCAATGTAACAATTACAGTTTTAGCTAGGGACCGTCAAAACCATAGATTGGTCTCGCAAGCGTAGCGGGACCAATCATTTAACTATTGTCAAAACTTAAAATGCTGGGTGGGCCGATAGATGTGCCTGGAAGTGTAGATACTTTAGATTATTTCTTGGCGATTTCAGAGCAAATTTTTTTTTCAGCGATGTTCAATAGTATCTTGTCATAATTTAGGTGATAGGTACAGGTAGGTACTATCTGGGTGATATAGTTGACATGGTTTCAATATCATAAATGTGAAAGTTTGTATGTTTTTATTCAATCACGCAAGAACTACTGAATGAGATGAGACTTGGATGAAAGAAGAATTGTCAAAAAACTAAAGTTATCGCAGACGAAGTCGCAGGCGGCAGCTAGAATATTACCAATAAATTGTCCGACAGACACAGACACATGGCTGCCGGCATAAGTTAAGAAGGGGAGACGAATGAGTAAATAATGTACGCCATCCGTCGCTTATCACAATCCCATGTGACGTCAGAGTTAGTGGCCAAGGCTGGATGGACCCCTTTGACAACCGAACGAAAGGTCGAGATTGGAACGGCGAATATTCAGTCAAAAAGAAATAAATATTTGCATTGAATGAAATGAATGAAAAGATTCCGCGGCGGTCGAAACAAACCGAAACCGGATATTTAATCGGGTCGATCGATGCTTACTATTTTGGTTGGACTCTGATCAGAAAAATCTGACGAAACTATGTTTGCCATCTCGACAAAAAATATTTGTATCAATAAAAATATGTAAAAATAAATCTTCTTTAGTCCAATTATTGCTATTAAGAAAATATTTTAATTACCGTTCGTTAACTAAATTAACGGTCACAGAACAGAAACGATAACAAAAAAATGAAAATTTTAGGTATTTTCATCACCTAAATAAAACTTATACCTAATTTAGTATGTGCATGCATACAAATAAAAGGACGCCTTCCTCCTCTGGCTCACTGGAAGGCCAATTTAACATAATGTGGGCATTATGCAAGCAAAAAGCGCACGTCATCTCGGTAATATAAAATCTTTATGGGTACGTAAACTGCAATTTCTACTCATTTTAAACTTTAAAGTTAGCGTTATCGAGTATCATAAAATCAGAAAGAACACCACTGGTCTTCTCTGTTTGTGCTGATAGACTTTGCACGAAGAAGCTTGTCCATGCTTTAGTTATTTATTTTTAATTATTTATTTATTAGAAAACACAACTGCTTTTTTTTATATACATATTATTGATTTTAGATTTATATCTGTACTCTCACTCCAACAGATGGATTCATCTGCGTAGATAGTTGGTTTCCCATTGTCATCCCCTATTTTACCCCAGCCGAATTAGATTTTCGGGATAAACAAGAGCCTGTACATCTCCACGGTTCACTTTATCTCATAACTCTAGTCAATCTAAATCGGCCCTCTTTTAGTACTTTATAATATGAATTCCACAATTGTAACTTTTATCGGCAATGTGATGCCATATGCAAGTCTTTTTAATTTGATTCGCTTCGCAGCCAACGATTATCGTTGTTCACAAGTACTAAATTTAAATGATAAACATCACATCTAATGTTTATCGACTCTCTAATAACCAATCGCGAACATTAAGACATTAAATCATAAAATATTCGTAGATATAATATTATACTGTAATGGAAAAGACTCAAAGTTCTGTACAGAACAAAGTACAGGCAGAAGACTAATATAATAAATGTCTGCTTCTGATTTAATAATATCATGACGGACAAATAGAATACTAGGACCAGATTGTAAAGATAATAACCATAATACACAATGAATCGGCATAATTATATTATTATGAAGTGCCCTTCATTCGAACTCGGAGTTGGTATTAAATTATAAATGGCCAACACAAATCATTCATCGGTTTACTCTGTCACATGGCTTTGATTTATTCTATCAACTAATTTTGTATGACCTCTCTAAAGTGGAAGATTTTCGACAGTATAATTAAAATTAAGGTATAATAAAAATCGATGGTGAATGGTAATGATATCTGTTCGTTTTTTTATCATTTTCGATATTAAAAAACTTGCTTGATTCTTTAAGGAAAGATAATACTTAGATATATGTAATTAATCAATAAGGAAAGAGAGTTATGGTATTTGACAAAGTTGAAAGTGTCCTTATGATGACTAAAGAAACGATTTCGAATTAAGTGCATGCAAAATAAATCCGCAACCGTGTGACGAAAACACACTCAAAAATGGTTTTAAACTCTTTCCTCTCTGTAATAAATGGAGATGACATTACAAAACGCTGTCATTCATTGGTTTGTGGTTTCAAGTAGCGGTATCGATTGACTCATCCATTATTAAGCCCGAAATTAGATTTAAAATATGTACATACCTACAGACAAAGTACCAATAACTGACGGGGAAAAAACTATCAACCGTCTATGTGTAAGCATGAAGTCCATCAAATTTGGGAAATCCTGACTCATTCCACGACAAATAAGAGATACGCCACTTCGCATGAACTTTGAATAGGTAAGGTACCTGTAAAATTACATACATCCTTCTTGCATATTTGAGCCAAAACTTGGCAACAAATAATTCGAAACGAAACAAATTTAATTAATCGTTCAAAATAATAGGAATATAGGAACGTGATTGCATTTTTAATATAGACGCTTTTGACTCCGCTATAAAACGTACTTTGAAGGATGTTTAAAGGATGTCTTTTAAGGACTTTGTTGGCGCTCTTTCTAGTATTTTTTTTTTGTAGCAGATCTCCAAGTTCGGCATCCTGTCAAGTCCAACACTGTGCCAGCAGGGGCCAGGTAGTCATTTTTATCCCATCTTTGAAACTGCCTTCGTCTTATTTCATCGCGTCAGGCGTATTATTCAAGAAAGCTCTTTGTTAGAAAGAGTTGATCAGTTGTTGATTAAGATTACATCAGGCCTCGTAGTACCTTTTTAAACTAGGTTCAATTTCAGTATCTATGTTTATTAATTATGTAGTTAAGGTCACAACAAAGTAGTTATATCATGATGATGAGCGCTTTATTTTGCATGGAAAATTAGTAGTCGAACGAACACATGCATGTCAGGGTTCTGAACACAGCACGTGTTTTTAAACAACTTCACTTCTAAGCTTTGAACACTAAGGCTTTAAACATTTTTTTACAATGGAACCCTTGTAGAAATACTTGTAATTTTCATAGTATTGTTAGCGTTTTACTTTCATGTTTGAGTTATAAACATATTAAATATACTTGCATCTATTATGATTGTTACACGTAACATATCGCATTTCTAGTATTTTTAAAGCTATGTTTATTATGTTATTCATCAGCATCGTCCTCATCAGCTATTAATGTCCTCACTGCTAGGACACCGGGCTTCTTCGTGGATAGAATAGGATATTGGGCCACCACGCAGGCACAGTGTGAATTGGTGGGTTATTATGATATTAGCAGTGGCATCGCTTTGACAGCATCTTAGCTAATGCTTATTAGACATAATTTTGGAAACGTTTATTTGTCTTGTCCATAGAGTCTGTCAAAGCAACTAAATCTTTGAGGCAGAAGAATGTACTTTCTATTCCAATCAATGAACGGTTATATAAATGACCATGCCATTCATCACGACCATCATCAGCCTTTTAATGTCACTGTGGCGGCACCATCTATATGCCCCACATATAGACAACGGATGGAGGAAATCATTACTCACCATCCTCAAGAGATGGCGTTACCTGCACTGCGATCATAATAGTATGGAAGCCTACATCGCGCAAATGAAATTCGGAGGCTAACTCTTCATATATACGATGCCCGACCAACGTCAGTCGGGTCGCGGCCCCCGAGCTACCATCACTCGGAGGAAGATCTTCCCCTTTGGCCTTTCTACATCACCACTGCAGGGGCACAGGCCTTTCCTATGGATGAAATAGCGAGAATGGGCCATGAACCACCACGGAAGAGCTCGAGATAATGAGTTTTTGGACACCCATAATGAC